AGAGAGAGAGAGAGAGAGAGAGAGAACCAAAGAGAGAGAGAGAGAGAGAGAGAGAGAGAGAGAGAGAGAGAGAGAGAGAGAGAGAGAGAGAAGGGGTGGAAGCCTCCCCCAACTCCACGAAAGTCCATAGATGTCAACTCTCACAAAATCCACTAACAGCTCAAAAGCCAGAATAGTGCAGCATTAGAATTCAAACAGCACAGCTCGTTCCTCCTACCGTTTCTAACAGAGAGCTACAGTGGCGTCCTGTCCCCGATGTGCCGGGAACAGTTTTCTATTTCTGGAATAGCCAGTGGTCGTCACACACCTGTGGTTTCCAGGTGAATAACTGCTGTACAGTTTTAATCTCTCACATAGAGGCATGGAGGTCCAGTTTATTTGGATAAGTGGAGAATGGTCATGAGGGGCACGTTAATGACAAGGGCATCCTTCTCTCCATCAGTGCTGTAAAACTGGTTAAACCTGCGGATTTCATGTCATAGTCAGCATGCCCATGCTTCAATTTTTTTTTCGGTACAAGCCGTAGGTGGCTTTGCCTGGCCTTCTTGTTTGTTGGTGGGTCATGAAATGCCAGCTGTTTGCCAGGATACTGGTTGGCTTTATCTACCCGTTTGGCTGGGCGATTCTGGAGTTAATGCTCTGCTTTGTTTTGCCTCCGCAGTTTGGTGGCTGGTCGGGTCTGTGGACTGACTTGTGGTTATGACTGAGTAGCTTTGCATGCTTCCAGTGAGAGGACTGCTTAGCTGTCTATGGACAATGACGTGGTCTTCATGTTTTAGTTCCATTTTCAATTATGGGTTTGGGCTTCTCTTGATTCATTAGCCGTTCCCCAATGTCCAGCAAGACTATTGAAACAATGAGAGGGCATACTGGACGCGTAGACCACTTTGGCAGATGGCCTTGACAACCTTGAGAGCGGATTTCCATTTTTTCTTGGAAAAGCATGGCTTGTGGGGGGTCTCTAATTTTGTAAGTTGCCCTAATGATAATAATATGCAACAAGAAGAAGAAGAAGAAGAAGAAGAAGAAGAAGAAGAAGAAGAAGAAGATGTAGCAGCAGCAGAAGAAGAAGAAGAAGAAGAAGAAGAACGAAAGCTATGATTTCAGTAAAGTCTTGTCATAATTGCCCACGTAACAAACAGGCATCGAGTACTTAAATTTCCTAGAAATGATGTGTAAGAGTGTAAGTCCGTCTGTACTATTTCTGTAGAGATTCCAAGGATGTAATGTGAACCTTGCTGTGAGAGTAAGGATCATTGATGCATTTATCTTCATGGCAGCTCGTGCAATATATCTTATTGTGCCTTTGTTGTTGTTATGTGTTATTGGGCGTGCTATGGCATGGTGTGACATCGCATGGCAAATGATAATCACTGGAACCGGTAATGACAACAGGGTGGTGAGGTCATTCAGGGCAGTGTTGTTGAAGTTCCTCATGGAGGTGGAGCCATGGAAGGAGGTGGTCAGATGGGACCAGTGGGAACCGGCGGTCCAGGTATGGCCCCTCAAGGAGAGGTGCAAACGGTCCAAGAAGTGCCCAAGAGAAGAGCTAAACGAGGCCAGGCAACAGATCCCCACAGTATAGCAGAGAGGGTAGGTGGCATGACACCATCTCTGGTTTCTCGTTTTGCCATTGTTTTTCTTGTAGTTCAGTTGCAATTTGATTTCATCCCATAACTACTCCCTCCTCCTCCAACTGCTTTGTTGCAGCCCGGAGCACATGGCTACAGAAGGCCACAGTAATGTGGAGTGTTGCCTGGCTGTAATTTACCAGAATGTTACACACCTACAAAAATATGGAAAAGTCCGAAAAACAGTATTTGTGATTATTTTTGGTAGAACGCTGCCGGGGGTGCTGCTGGGGGTGATATGAGCAGCCCAATATTTGTGATTTTTCCCCACTTTCCCAGAGAATATCTAAAGATCGAAATATGGGAAGTGGATTTTGCTGGTCTGCAGTTAAGCAGAGCATTTACCAGTTCTATTCCACATTATATTGACCCTCTCTTTCAGGAACTTGGGCAGGGCCCTTGCAATCGCTCCTTGGATGTCTTTTTTTCTTTTCTGAAAGGACGACGGCCTTGAGACATCATCGCCGAGCTGACCGTCCCTAGGTAATTCAGATATTTCATTCATGTAGTTCCATGTGGATTCAAACTCAGGTCAGAGTTTTAACAGTTCAGCTGGGCTAGGCGCTTTGGTCTTGGATGTCTTTTCTTCTTGGTTTGCTGGAAGGAATTCATGAAAGGGGTGAGAACAGCGCAGGAAAGGGGAGGGGGTGGAGGTTCGGAGGGAGGGGTGTTGACAATGAGATCCCACTGATTCCCACATTGATTTAGACAGCCTTCACAAGAAGGGAAAATAGTTCTAGTGATGAGGTGGAGAGTTAGGTGATTCGATCTTCTGTCACTGGATAGGCTCTGGGGAAGGAGGGACTGCACAACGCAGCCTCGTCTTGGTTTGGAATGCCTTAATGAAAAGGTCGAACAGGAATCATACATGAGGAGACATGACACACTGGAGCATGTCAGCTCCGATATAAGTAATTTCTATGGTTGATGTTTTCAACGAGGCCTCACGCTCATTTGGACAACTTCCACAAGAAGGGAACATGGTTTTGCTGAAAAGGGTGAGAAGCATTGGCGCTTTGGCCTTGGGTCACTGAAGGACACACAAGTATCACACATGCGGAGACAGGACACGCCGGACCATGTCAGCTCCAATATAACTAATTTCTATGGGGGGAGATGTTCACCATGAGGCCTCTTGGTCATTTGGACAGCTTCCACAATAAGGGAACATGGTTTTGGTGATGAGGGTGAGAGGCATGGGTGCTTTGGCCTTGGGTCATTGGAGGACATCTGGAAATGGAGGGGCTGCACAACTCAGCGTCATACTGGTTTGGAGTGTGGTAATAAAGAGCTTAAAAAATGCAAAACAGGTGTCATTATGTCATGAACGAAGATGCAGAACAAGCTGTTCTAGGTCAGACATAAGTAAATTCTATTGGTCATGCCTTCAACTCATTTCATTTGTGGTAAGGACGGCCAAACTTTAGGACACTGTCATGACACATCACTGAGTGGCTGAGACCAACAAGGTAGATATGGCCATGTTCTTTCTTGTTGTTGTTTCTTTAGGGTGAGCTATGATCATGAGGAGGCAAACGAAATCAACACAAGGCCTCAATTGGACAGGCTCCACAAGAAGGGGAGGGAGGACTGCTGAAACAATCAGGTCCCATGCCGAGGAGTGATTCTTAATCAAGGTCCAATATTTGGTTACGTATAGAATGTTAGGACACAAACTGTTCCTTGTGTTAGAGGAGTCTTTGACGATAGATGGGCCATCAGTAATCGAGTGGTTAAACATACATAGAAATTTAGACATTGTAGAAAAGCAAGTATGAGGCTTGGCCTCTTAAGTTAAGAGTTAGCCCCATGGTAGTTGGGCATGACTGAATGGGCTTGGCAGAAGCGTGAATCTGAGCAACAAAAGTTTTTTGGTTCTCCCAAGAAAAAGAAAGAAAGAAAGAAATGGAGTGGGGAACAAAAGTGCAAACAGAGAATTGGCAGGCAGCGTCATATCAGATAATGTTCAAATTGCAATTTCGTTGTTTCAGAGATTTGCAGTGCATGCACATGAGAGAGAGAGAGAGAGAGAGAGAGAGAGAGAGAGAGAGAGAGAGAGAGAGAGAGAGAATGCTTCCTAAACACACTAAGGCTGCAGTTCACAATATGCTCACTAATTGTAATTGTTTGTTGGAACCGCATCATTTGTTTTAATTGTTTGTTGGGGTGGGTGTGTCGGTGGGTGTGTGCTTTTCCTTCTGGAACTGGATGTGTTTGTTGTTATTGGGGGCACGGATGCACCAAGGCAGATACGACGGGAGCGGATTAGTGAACGACTACGAAAATTGCATGAGCTCCTGCCGATTTCAGATAAGGTGCGCATCAAAAAGTTGCCCATTTTATCTTAGTCTCATTTCCTTCTCTTAAACTACCAGTACCTTTTCCAGCGATCGCTACAGTACCTCTCTCTCTCTCTCTCTCTCTCTCTCTCTCTCTCTCTCTCTCTCTCTCTCTCTCTCTCTCTCTCTCTCTCTCTCTCCCTACCTATCTATCTACCTATCTACCTATCTACCTACCTACCTACCTACCTACCTATCCACCTACCTACCTATCTGTCTATCTGTCTATCTATCTATCTATCTATCTATCTTTGTCTCTCTACCTACCTACCTACATTTTTCACTCAACTACATAACAAAGGTAAGACGAGAAATAAACAAGAAACCGCAAAAGAAGTCAAAAGGAGGGGGGAAGGAACTGCATAGGAAACGGCAGAAGGACAGTTTCAGTGTGCTTCATTTTGTCAGCTATTTTCTTCTCGTTTGTTTTGCAAAGTGCCCAATAAAGCATTGACAAAGAGAGGGTTGGATGGATGGAAGGAGGGAGGGAAGGAGGGAAGGAGGGAGTGAGTGATGGATGGAGCAATGGATGAAGTGATGGATGAAGCGAGTGATGGATGGAGTGATGATGGAGTGATGATGGAGTGATGATGGAGCAATGGGGGGAGCAATGGGGGAAGCAATGGAGGGAGCAATGGATTGAGCGATCGGAGGAGTGATGAAAAATATAAGTGGATGAAGCGATGTATGGTGCGATGGATAGAGCAATAGATGGAGCGATAGGGGGAGTGATGAAAAAGATAAATGGATGGAGTGATGAAAAACATAAAGGTTAAATAGGAAAAAGATAAAGGTAAAGATAAAGGTAAAGATGAGACAGGACCGATGGATGAATCAATAGGGGGATCAATAAAAAAGATAAAGATAAGATAAAGAAAGAGATAAAGATAAATATGAGATAAGCGCGAGGAATGAGCCCTCGCGAGGCCCTTATCAGACATGCAAGTGTTCTGGGCTGCGGCCCACAGCAACCCTGTGCCCTCCCTAAGTGAAGGCGGGCCTGAATATCCACGTGAGGCCTATTTTTGCCATTTTCTATATGTTGGGAATCAGACAGTTGCAGCACGTCAGTTGGTTACAGAGCAACGTGAGCCTCCAGGGTCTTTCCAGAAGCAAGGGCTGCGCTATACAGTTGAGCCCAGGGCTCAGGCGGTTGCGCGCTGGGCACATGATGTGTGAGGCCGACACATCACGGACTGGCTGCGGGCCAATGAGAGAGCAGCGTTGTCGTCACACATGCACCGCGAGCCAATGAGAATGCTGCGAACACTTTGAGGCTGGGTGGCTGCCTGAACGTGCCTACCTGCACGAGGCCCAGGCCAGTATCTGAAACTGGGCCTGGGAGCAGACACTTGGGGCCAGAGTCAAGCTACTGGGGCCCCCCACATGCCTCGCCAGGCCAGCCAGCAGCGGGCACACTTTCCATAAAGGAAAGTGTGTGTCCCAGAGTAAGGCATTCTGGTCTGCCAAGGGAATGCGGCCACGTTGCTGCTTTGTCGGATGAGCACTGCTTAGCGCTGGCAGGCTGGGGTGCATACCAGCGCTGAGAGCTGAGAGGGCACTGCGATGGCAGTGGGCGCACGGCGCCCATAGTCGGGCAGCACGTGTGGATGCAGGTGATGGCGATGGTGGTCTTTAGGTAGGAGGCGCATGCAGAGGGGAGACAGGGTGTGATGAGGGGAGAAGAGAGAACGTACCTGGTGTATGCTGGCGGTCGGCATTGGTGATGATGTCACGTACATTGGTCTTCGACTTCGGTGTGATCCAGTGGCGCAAATGTAGATAGGTGTAGATAGGCTGAGTAGTGTAGGCTGGGCGCTGGGCGCCATACAGTAGGAGCGACATTGGATACTGTGTTGGTGTGACCGGAGAGCGTCAACATTGGCATACGAGTTCATTGTATTGCTCTTATTTGAATGGAATCTTGGTGCATTGTGCTCTCTGTCTGGGCTACTTCCTGATTTTGCAACTTGGATTTCTGTCTATCGCTCTCACTCATATTCATTGCAATTTGGTATCAGAGCTGGTTCGATATCGCTGTTACCGGCGCTGGCGACTTTGTAACTTGGTGCGCTGACGAAGCTTCTGCGCAGTAAGGATATATTGGCGCTGGCTTGTGAAGCCACTCTTGGGTAGAGGGGAGTCTGGCAGGAAGGCTGTGGCAACAGCGTGGGAGCTATGGCGACAGCAGGTGTATGTGGGATGATGAGACCATGCTGACATTGCATTTTGGCTGAGGTGGCACTCCATTTCATTGTGTGTGGTACCGAGGCTATGACCGGCCATCAAAGTGCACGTCGACTCAATTGGTGAGAAATCTGTGGTTGGGGGAGAGAGAGAGAGAGAGAGAGAGAGAGAGAGAGAGAATGATCAGTGCCTACGACATTCTGCGGAGGATAGGCTGCGTGCTGCCACTCAAGAAACAACTCAACTTCAGCAAAGAAAAACGGTTTCAGCAGACCACTGATGGGCCCACTTCTGATTTGCTTTTGATTTTTCCGAGTGCAAGGAAAATGAGCGATAGCGAACTTCAGAAACTAAGCAGCATCATACACATGAGACCAGACAGTCGTGACCTCGAACCAAAAGCAGGATTGCATCATGAGTCCCACCAAATAAGAGCACAGCAAAAGCTCATAAGTGACAATGTTTGAATAGTCTCATCATCATCTACAAAGAACCAATGTCGACATCCTATCTGGCGCTCGGTGCCCAGACTACAAATGGCAGATCCTATCTAGTCTATCTACATTGCCGCTGGTGACGTCAACATCTCCCTGACGTACGAGCAGATCTCGGCCAATGTCGTTCGCCTCAAGCACCAGGTATGTCTCTCGTATCACTCACAACCTCGATCCCCCACTCACAGATGCCACATGCACCCAAGGACCACCATGCGCCCCATCCAGCATACAGCAGTGCAGCTCGGCTATGGCTGCCTGCTCCTTCCAGCTCGCCCGTGAGTGCATGAGCGCTGGCCAGCGTATAGTGCAGCAGCGCTTGCGCAGCATGCAGCCAGTGCCCGAATCAGGAATGCGTGAGCAGGCACTTTCCTAAATGGAAATTGCCTGCCTGCTGTGTGAAGCCTGGCTCCGCTGGGCCCCTGCCCAGAAGCTTCCGGTAGGCCCCGAGAGGCTGTGCCCCAGTCCACACGAATCAGGCCCTGGGCCTCTGGTAGTTGCCCGTGTCCAACTGCCTTCGGCCTGTGTTCGGTCCATGTTGCGTATCTGGCCCAGGGCCTGCCTCAGTTACATACGAAAAAGGCCGCCTGGGCCTGAGCGTTCTCAACCAACTGGCGCTGCGCAACTGCCTGAATTTGCCCAGTTGCGCGGTGACCCCAAAATTAGGCCTATTGGCCCTGGGTCGAGCCTGCCTTCACTTAGGGCCGCCGACTGTACAGAAAATAGGGCCCAGTAGGGCAGATCGAGGCCCTGAGCCTCACATTCCCTCCTCCATACTTTGGCAGTCCTCTAAGAAGTCTGATTACTCAATCTGGCGCTTTCCTTTCTGCAGTGACTTCTCATAATGAGCGACAGCCTGTGGAGCGGTCTGCATCAGTTCCTCCCGAGTGAACCATCTGCCCTCCTTAGGATCAGTGTGATGTCTGAACTGAACGCGATACTGCAGCTTCAGCTTAGGAGGACGTCCCCTGCCTGTCGGTCTTGGAACTGGCATTTCTCTGTGGTCCACGATGTCGTCGATGTCGACCTCTCCATCCATGGTTGGGGGCAAGCCCGGGCAGCATCGAGCGTCGCGAGGGAAACTGTTCAGTTTCTTTGAATGGTGCAAGCTTAGAGGCGTGGAAGACAGGGTAAGTGCAAAGATGACCAGGGATCCATATTACATATGATGGCCCATCCGGATCCTCCCCGACGATATCAATAACCTCCCAAGGTCCGAAGTACTGTGGCGTGAGCTTGCGGGATATCTCGTGCTCCTGTCCCAGTTCCGAGGACTTGACCCAGACTCTGTCCCCTACCTGAAATGTAAATGGGCGGTGGTGCTTGTTCTCAGACTCTATCATCGCCGGCTTGGCCTTGTGCATCTGTTCTACCGCTTGCGGCATCAACTGCTCATATTGATATACAAATCCTAACGTTCCAGGTGCAGCTGTCAGCTGATTCTCAGGTAGCAGGAAGTCTAGAGGCAGTCTAGGCTTAAAAGTCAGTAGCAGGCTGTTATCACCCCTGTTGCGCTGTGCACGACATTGTTGTACAAGCTGGCGATGAGAGCAAGTTTCTCATCCCAATCCACCTGGTTGGGCTTTATGTAGTGCCTCAACAGGTGTTGTACAGCGTGGTTCAGCTGCTCCGCTTGCCCGTTTGCCTCTGGGTGGTTCCCAGAAGTCATCTGCAGTTGTGTTCCTTGTTCTGCAGCTGCAGCCTTCCACAACTCACTAGTGAATCGGACATCCCGTTCACTTACCATGGACTTTGGAAGCCCAAAGTCTCTGACCCAGTTTTCTTTAAACAGCTTGATCACATACTCCGTCTTGGCTGTAGCAGGCATTGCGACTAACCTAGCATACTTGCTAAACCTATCCACAATGACATAGACATATCTCATTCCGCTCTTGCTGGTGACCAGCGTGTCCATGAAATCCTTGACAGGCTCTCACGGGGCCTTTCCGGAATCGGAAGGGGCTTAAGAAGCCCAAGAGGGGCCTGTGTACGTGGCTTGTCTCTCTCGCATACCTGACAAGTCTCCACGTACAGCTTCACATCTCTCGCCATTGTGGGCCACCAGAACCGCTGCAACAGATTTGCTGGAGTCTTTCTGTACCCAAAATGTCCGGTGGCATCATGATACTCGCCTAAAAATAAACTACGCAAAGACTCTCGATTTGGAACACACAAACCTTTATTCCCGGCCTTCTCAAGGAACAGCAGGCCGTTGACCAACACAAACTCGTCGGCAGTTGCTTTGTCTTTTGCCTCGAGTCTGCGTATGATTTCGGCCATAAACGGATCCTCGTG